GACTTCAGCATGGTGGCTCTGGGGGGTTCTGGGGAAGGGCCTGGGCTGGGAGATCATTGGTAGGGCACAGAGGGGCTCCAGAGGGCTGGGATGGTGATGGGGGGCGCTCAGGGAAGGGCAAATGGGTGTCCCCCACATGTCCTGGGCTCACCCCCTGTCTTCCCTTCAGATCCCCAGCCTGAGCCACAGCGTGGTGTCTCAGACCAGCTTCCGGGCTGAGTACAAGGCATCGGGCGGCCCAGCCGTGTTCCAGAAGCCCGTCAAGTTCCAGGTGGACATCAGCTACTCGGAGGGCGCCGAGGCCCACAAGGATGGGGGACTCTACTCCGTCACCTTCACCCTCCTCTCAGGTGGGCGTGGGGTGGGCCAGGGGTGTGGGACCCCCCCATGAGGATAAGTGGGTGAGATGGGACCCCTCACCAGACCCCTGGGGACAAATGAGACCCTTAGCCCTGCCAGGGGAGAGAAATGACCCCCCCAGAGCATGGACCCCCAAGGCTGTGCAGTGGGTGAGAGATGAGGCACACCATAGAACCCTTCAGGGCTAGGGGACCTAGGTGTGGCCCCATGTCACCCCCAGGGCCCAGAACCGATATGCCTATAGGAGCATCCCTGGGGCTGAGCACTGGTACCCCACCAGGAGACTAAGACCAGGGAAGCCACAGGGCTGAGAGCCAGAGACCCACCCCTCCCTCCCTCCACCACCACTGAGCTCCCAATGGGGCAGGAGTCCCCGCTTGACTCCTCCAGCTTTTCATTCTCCATACCCATCCCACACAGTGCCAATGCGTAGGTGGTGCACAGGGGTGCATGTGCACCCCCTGAAAGTGCTGGTGGACCCCCTGACAGGCCATGCTCCCCGCTTAGGCAATGGGTGGGTGGGGCAGGCAGGAGTGCCAGTGTCCCCCTTGTGAGTGCTAGCTGGGGAGTGGGAGCACCAGATGAAGCGCCGCGGCCACTTTTGGAAGCACCGAAGCCGCTTCCCAGTCGGTGAGATTGGTCATGGGGGACTGCCTCCCCCCCCTGTCAGCTGACTGGTTGCCAGGGGGGCGGGGAATGTGCCCCCCTGACTAAGGTGGCACCAGTCGCCCATGATCCTACATGTGCCCTTTGACCCTTGCAGGTCCTAGCCGCCGGTTCAAGCGGGTCGTGGAAACGATCCAAGCTCAGCTGCTGAGCACGCATGACCAGCCCTCAGTGCAGGCCCTTGCTGGTGAGTCCGGGTACAGGGTAGGGGCCTGGCAGGAAGCTGTGGGCTGGGAGGGAGGAGCACTGGTGGAGCTGGGGGGTGTTTAGGGGAGCTGACGGGCAGTGGGTCAGGGGTGAGTGGTAGCATTGGCAAGAGCAGTGGGTCAGGAGTGAGGGGCACCAAGAGGCTGTAGGAGGTGGTAGGGGGCTGTGGGTTGGGAGTGAGGGGAGCTGGCAGACATAGTAAATCAGGAGTGAGGGCCATTGGCAAGGCATGGGGGGGTCTAGGTGGGCTGGCAGGGGCAATGGGTCAGGAATGAGGGGTATCACGAATCTGAGGGGGCTGGCAGAGCTGACGGGTGGGGAGCAAGGGGCACTGTGGGGCTGCCAGGAGCTGGGAGCAGGGGCTTGACAGGGTCTGTGGGTGGGGAAGAGCACTGGTAGGGCTGGGGGCTGCAAGTCAGGAGCAAGGGGCGCCAGCCTCTCAGTGCCCCCCATCTCTCCTACAGACGAGAAGAACGGGCAGCCCCGTGTACCCAGCACGCCCACACGCAGCTCCCATGCCTCACGGCGCTCAGAGCCAGACCTCCCTGACCAGCACCGCCGCGCCTCCTCCAGGGACAAGAAACTCATGTCATCCAACGGGACTCAGGCCACCCAGCCCCCACAGCCATGACCCCCGAAGCGTAGGGGGCCACACAGGGCTGGGGCGGGGGGGGGGGAGAGAGCG